TAGACATTGTGCTTTGTAATTTTGGGAACAACCCTCATTTCCCAACTTATAAGTTGGGAAATCCTCTCCATTTTCTCTCTTCTCTCTCCTCTTTTCTTTTTTTTTATGTTTTGGTTGGGAGCTTATGAATCAAGTTTTCCGGCGAATTTCCGGCGACATTGTTTCGAGTAAAGTTTCGAGCTTTTGACTTCGTTTCTCTTTGCAAGTGCGTGTAAGAGTGGGTACTTAGTCTTAAGCCCCATTACTTCGTATATCTTTTTTTTGCTTTTGTGAAAATTGATATTGTGCTTGTATTGCTTGGAGGAAAAGATTGAATCTTTGGATTGAGAATGCTTGACTAAGTGTGATTAGGAGTTAAATGCTTGCTCGTTTTGTGCTAGAGTTTGATTTAGCTTCCTGGGGTTTTAGCTAGCATGGCAATGTTCGGTTATTTGTGTGTGTTTGATCATAGAGACTCCGGTGAACCAAGATCTCTCTTTCCCCCTTGATTTCTTTCATCCTCTTGCGTGCTTAGTTAATTGCTTTCGATTGCTCTTATCTCGTAGATTAATTTAGCTTAAATTCGAACCCACAACTTGCGAGTAGAATGTTTAGGACCTTTTTGGTTGTGTGACCTTGACGACTAGGCAGTAAACGAAGCTCCGAACAACCTTCCTTTGAGAACGACCCGAGTCGGGTAGCTCGGTTACCACATGCCCAAAAATACTACAAACAGCCAGTACGTTCGATGACTACATCAATGATGCCATTGCCGGTATGCGCGCAAAATACTCGAAGTCTCCACAAGTGGTACAATATGTGGAGAACATATGGTTAGGGCACAAGGAGAAGTTTGTGAAAGCTTGGACCAACCAGGTAGCACATTTTGGAAACACAACTTCCATAGGGTAAAAAGTGTCCACTCTGTGTTGAAGTAGTGGCTTCACACATTCACTGGCGCGCTCGATACAATTTGGCAGAAGATTAATAAGCATATCGATTCTCAATTGACTGAAATCAGGTACATAGTGCAATATTTAACTGTGTTAATATATTACTGCATTAATTATAATCTAATGTTATGTAATGTATTATCAAGTCAGCGCTTGAGGCTTCAAGGGTTAAGAAGAGTACGCAGTGTAAGGGAATCCTTTTCGCGAGCGTGATACTAAGGGTCTCGCATTACTGCCTGAGTTTATTGGACTCTGAGGTTACGAGGATGCATGACTTGAGCTATGAAGTTTACGAGCGCTGCGGCAGTGAATTGCAAGCGACTCATGGACTTCCTTGTGCCCGTCTGTTCCGTACGGTATATGATTCTAAAATTTCGATTAATCTCGGAATGATTCACCAGTTCTGTAGAACGCTATAGATGTTAGAGCCAGGTAATATAAGATTAATGTTTTATATATAATTTTCTACTTGTTGTTTCATTTTTAATTACAACTTATGTAATTAAAGTACATTATTTGGTTTAATTCATTGAATTATTTATCGTATACTTATAGGGACGGGTCACCAGAGCCAGGCGAGCATGGGTGCATGGTCAGATGCGGAGTTCTTTCGGACGCTTGTGAATGAGGTTGAAACGGGCGATCCCGCGACGATGCGGTACATGAATCAGTTCATGTACAGTCATTTTTACCCTGACCAACAGGATTATGCAGTACCTGAGGTTTAGAAAAACCCGCGAGGTCATCCCAAGAAAACCAATTCAACTAAGCGTAAACCATTTTCTTGGGAGTACAGGGATATATCGCGAGGTCAGAAATCGAACCGTACGACCACTTCTTCGCGTGGACAGGCAAGCTCATCTTCTCAACAGTCACAAGGGGCACCAGGTGATATATTTTTTTAATATAGCTGAACGTTAATTAAAGTATTTATATAATTGTATATATTGTGAAGTGAAATTATTATGATATTGCAGAGATTAGACCGACAAATATATTTGATTTTACAATGTGGCAAAGAATCCCATGGTTTATGTTGGACTACGAAGTGAGTTGCCTGAATGTGGAGGCGGATGGGAACTGCAGATTTCGGGTCATCGCGAGTTACGTGTATAGTAACCAGCAAATGTGGCCAGTCATAAGAGGCAACATTGCGAAGGAGATCCAAAGCCACCGTACCTTGTACAACTACATCTATTTTAGGGATATCGATGTCGCACTCATACGAATAAGGTGGGACGGGGGCACTTGTGGACCGGGTCACTAGTTCGAAGTTCCGCAGGACCTTTACCTTGTTGCAACACTATTTAATGCGGTTGTCGTTTTGCTGAGCTCTGGTCCGCGAGGTGGGCAGCACGACATGTACATCATGACAATGTTGCCGCTCTGTGCACGATCGATGGCTAGAGGACCATGTCGTGAGATTGTCATGTGTCATCTTGGTAGTTACGAACACTACATTCGTTTAGTTTTGACTTCTGATTGTCCATTACCACCTATTCATAGAATGTGGTTCACGAACGTATGTTCCCAAGCTATGAGAAAGGCTCGTTCTCCTGAGTCGACCCATCAGGACTCTCAGGAGAACGAGTCTGTCTCGAAGCGTAGGAACATACGTTCGTGTGAGCCGATTGTTTGACATTGGCGCCGTCCCTATGCTCCACGAGCAAGATCGTGCGACACAGTCAGGACCGATGGATAGACGCCTCTGGGGTCGGAAATTGGGGAAATACTTATATATCCAGGTCAACAGAAGAGCCAAGCAGCCCGACAGTCCACTGGAGTCCCCTCGGTTGGCAATACCTAGTTGTCTGTACAAGTATGCCAGTGTAGCTGATCCCCATGAGTAACCCCAATTGTATCCAAGTTGTCGAGCACCTCGTGCAAGAGCTTGGGGGTCACTCTACTACCACTCTTGCCAACAAACAAGGTGGTAGCCAGCATCACCCACATCCAAGCACCCGCCTCATCCTTAGTCGGTCGGCCTTTCCCCATGAATGCCTCCACAATTGAGACTTCGACCACCGAACCACGCTGCCAGAACGAACTCATGAGTTGACCCTTGGTGACTGAAAGTAACATCATGCTGAGCCCGTCTGAATCCGGGTCGTCAGCGACCACGGCTCCCTCCACAGGAACGCCCAAAATGGTGCGGACGTCATGCAGCATGATGCTCATTTCACCAAAAAGCAGGTGAAACGAGTTAGCATCCGGCTGCCATCGCTCCACAAACGCAGAAAGCAGTGGAGTGTCCAAGTGGCTGTGCATGGAGTCCACCAGATGTGACAGCCCGGTGTCTCCGATCAGAGCTTTTGCATCGGGAGACATCTCATCACGCTAACTCCTCAGATTCTCGACCGCTCTCAGTCTGTTCTGGTATTTCAGCATGCCCCTAAAATCTCCACTCCACATGCGGGAGGCGATATGCCCTAGAAAGCTAGGGATGACACTCCCATCAATGGGCCCACCGGCCACTGTGCCTTTAACGATCTAGGGTGCATCTTTATCGGTCCTAGCTCGTTTGCTAGTACCTGCAATAGAATATAACATATCTGTATATATACATTTGCTGGCAGATGCATTAAATAAAACCTATTTAATAAAACCTATTTTCAATTAACGTAGAAACAGTACATTTTACATTAATAAAGTATAATGACAATTTTAAACTAATTTATTATATAATATTACTACACCTTTAATACAATTCAATAAGTGTCAAAGGGAGAACATTTAGTAGTAGTAGTATGGTAAAATTCAAATATTACTAATTAATGTAGAAACGTTATATTTTTTATTATAACAATAATAAAAAATATTTATAATACTTTTCTAGCTAATTAAACAACAATAAATACGTAAATTATTTACCTGATGAGGATGCACCGCTACCAAAACGCCCCCCAGCGTTTCGTTGAGGAGCAGCATGTGTAGGACGAACAGCCTGTACAGGACGAACAGCCTGTACAGGAGGGATAGGTTGGTTAGGACCCGTAAGCTGTGCGGGTCGTGCAAAATGCTGTGGTGGGAGCTCCCTCTGGGGGTAGTGCGGGTGGTCCTGATCATGTGAAAGAGTCGTCCTCGTCAGACTCCTTTAAACCCTGCTTTCTCTCGCCGTACGACTCATCAGGATATCCCTGCTGACCGTAAGGTAATGGTGTACGTGCGCGGGATATCGACTTTCCTGCGTGGCGAGGAAAAGAATATACCCGCTGATGGTACGGTCCTGGTGCCGGGGGTATCAAACTGTCTGCCTGGCCAGGATAATAATATCCATGCTCACCGTACGGTACGACTCTGAGAAGTCGCGAACTGTTTGGCTGGCCCTCAAAATGATATCCCTGCGGACCATCTCGTATAGTTGCGGGGGGTCTTGAACTTTGGCTAGCCAGACCAGTCTGTATCTTCCGAGCCTGATCGATCATCGTCTGTCTGTCCCAACGAACGGACGCATTGACACCCCGACTTCTAGTGTGTCGGGTACCAGAACCATCATAATAGTCATCGAACGCCTCGTCGTCGTCCCTGGCAGAAGATTGTCCAGGTCTGCTAACACCTTGAATAAAAAATATAATTAGTAATTTTTTCATATGTAATAATTATTGTAATAACTATTAAAATAGATTATAATTTATTTTTAATTTAATTTATAAATTTTATTATTATAGTTTATAATTAATTATAATTTATTCAAGTTACTATTATTATAATTTATAATTATTATTACAATTATTACAATTAATTCTAATTTATAATTATAATTATAATTATTTCTAATTTATAATAATTATTATAATTATTATTATAATTATAATTATGATTGTAATTATTTATAATTTTTATTATAATTATTATTACAAATTATTATTATAATTATTATAATTAATTTTAATTTATATTTATTATTATACTTAATTCTAATTATTATGATAATTATTATTATTATTATTATTATTATTATTATTATTCTTATTATTATTTATAATTTTTCATTATTATTATTATTATTTTTATAATTCATAATTAATTATATATTATAATAAATAATTATTATTATTGAAAAAAAAGTGTACGGCCGGCGGGGCCGGTCCGGTTTGGTCCGTTCGGACCGCGATCGTGCGCGGTTTTTCTGGCGTCCGACCGCCGATCGCGATCGGCTGAGAAGAGTTGAGAGAGTGGCGGACTTCTGACGAGGTTGAGAGAGTTGGTTGTGGCTCAATCATCCCCTCGGTGGTGTTTGGGGCTGAGATATGTGCGGTTCCACTCTCTTCCTTTCTCCCGCTATTCTCTTCCATATGTGCCGCTAATAATGTACAAAATGAATAGACCTTATAATTATATGAAAAAATTATTTCAAAATCACAATTTTTTTATATAAAATATATATCTCGTCTATTGCACGTGCTCATAACTAGTAACTATAAAATTACAAAGCCGCATTTATTGCTCAAGTACAAAATATACCTATCTTTCTTTCTTTTTTTTACCTTGAAAGATAGAAATAGTACTAAAAAAATTAATAATTACAAGGTGATGTCAACTTACATCAATACAAATTGGACAATAACCTTACACTCGCGGACAAATCAGTACCAACAAGTCGCAATGTCTATTAGACAAGATATCGCAAAATCCCACTTATACACTCTTATATCTATATATATGGAGACAATCTTCTTGACATATGTACATTAAAGAGAGAAAAAAGATACAGAGAGCTAGAAAAAATAAAAAAATCTTGACATATACATTAAAGAGAGAAAAAAGATAGAGAGAGCTATAAATATTTAATAAAGAAAGAAAAAATGGGGAAGGAAAGTATAGTAAAAGTTGCAGCGATTGGTATTACAATATTGTTGTTATCCATTTTGCAGGTGACAATGGCGGTGAAGCAAACATACATCGTTCAGATGGCTGGAGACGAACGGCCAAAGAGTTTCCCCGATCACTCGACGTGGTATGCCTCGTCTCTGGCGTCTGTGTCCGAGACAGCCGAGACGAGTTATATTTACGAGAATGTTTTTGATGGCTTCTCCACCATCCTCACTTCCGAGGAGGCTGACCTGATGAAGGGCCTTGAGGGGGTGATATCTGTTATCCCAGAGACAATCCACACGCTCCACACAACCCGGACCCCTCGGTTTCTTGGTCTCGAGAAATCGAGCTCACTCCTTCCGGATCCCCAACTTGTGAGTGAAGTCGTTGTTGGGGTCCTGGACTCTGGCGTGTTGCCACAACACCCGAGCTTCAGTGACAAGGGGCAGCTGGGACCCATCCCGAGTAGCTGGAAAGGGGGATGTGAAGGGACAATCGATTTCCCGAAATCCAGCTGTAACAGGAAATTGGTTGGGGCGATGTCCTTCTCGAAAGGGTACCAATTTTATCTCAATTACAGTGGGAATAAGAATAGCGAGCCAATATCCCCACGGGACTACGATGGCCACGGGACCCACACCGCAAGCACTGCTGTCGGGTCCCCTGTCCAAGGCGCCAACCTGCTGGGCTTCGCTAGCGGGACGGCGCGGGGGATGGCATCCACTGCTCGGGTCGCATCATACAAAGTCTGCTGGAAATTCGGGTGTTTCGGTTCCGACATACTGGCAGGTATGGACCGTGCCATCAAAGATGGCGTCCACGTGTTGTCGTTGTCCATTGTTGGCGGTCCAACTGATTACGACGAGGATGTGTTCTCACTTGGAGCTTTCGCTGCAACTGATAGAGGCATCCTCGTTTCGTGCGCCGCAGGAAACGATGGCCCCGACCCGTACAGCACGGGAAGCATTGCACCGTGGATAACGAGCGTCGGTGCGGGGACCCTTGACCGCGACTTCCCGGCGGATGTCATGCTCGGGGACAGAACGAGTTACGCCGGCACCTCACTCTACAGCCTTCGAAAGCCACTGTCTGGTGATCTCGTGTACGCTGGATATGTGAGCAACAACGGCAGCAATCTTTGCATTAACGGGACCCTCACCCCAGAGAAAGTTAGAAATAAGATTGTGTTGTGTGACCGCGGGGTGAATTTCAGAGAAGAGAAAGGCGCAGTGGTGAAAGAAGCTGGGGGTTTAGGGATGATTTTGGCTAATACTGACAAGGAAGGGGAGGAGATGGAAGCAGACGCTCACATGATCCCGGCCTTGATGGTCGGCGCAAAGTCGGGGCGTGGGATAAGAAGGTATTTGTTGTCCTATAGATCCAATGCCAAGGCCACCATTATGTTGCGAGGGGACGTCAAGCCTTCCCCGGTTGTCGCAGCCTTCAGCTCTAGGGGACCCAACCTTATCACCCCCGAAATCCTAAAACCGGACCTCATTGCGCCCGGGGTGAGCATCCTAGCTGGATGGACAGATGCTGAGGGTCCCACCGGCTTAGATATCGACAAACGCAGAGTCTTATTCAACATAATCTCTGGCACGTCCATGTCGTGCCCCCACGTCAGCAGCCTCGCGGCCCTGCTAAAGGCGGCCCACCCTGAGTGGAGCCCTGCCGCAATTTGTTCGGCTCTCATGACCACGGCTTACTCCAATTACGAGGACGGGAGCCCGTTGCTGGATGCAGCCACCAGCAACGCGTCCACCCCATTCGATCATGGTTCCGGGCATGTGTCCCCTATCACCGCCCTCAACCCAGGCCTAGTCTACAACCTAACCACGAACGATTATTTGAACTTTCTCTGTGCAATAAATTATACTTCTTCTTGAATCAAGACCCTTGCAGGGAAAACAACAAAATTTCGTTGCCAGCCCAAAAAATCATACAGCGTCAACGACCTCAATTACCCTTCCTTTGTAGCCACCATTTCCCCATCTGGAAATTGTAAAACAACCGTGGTTTTTAGGAGAACACTCACAAACGTGGGAGAAAATGGGACGACATACCGAGTCTCGATATATTCACCAAGACCGTCAGCCACGATTTCTGTTACTCCTAAAACATTGGTTTTCAGCCAAAAGAACGAAGCAAAGTCTTACAAGTTGACGGTGGTAGCAACCCAGATGTCGCTCGGTACAAATGCGTTCGGCAGAATCGAATGGTCGGATGGGAATAATGTGGTGGGGAGTCCAGTTGCTGTTAGTTGGATCAACGCTACTCAGGATTAATACAGTAGTTTCCTTGTTTACTTACTCTTAACTGTATCGTAATAACTCACATATGTAATAAGGCTACGCCAATAATAATAATAATAAGTCTCGTTGGAGGTATACTACTTGTTTGTTGTTTCTGTAACATTTTATTATTTACTTATTTCAAACACGTGATATATATATAGCTTTTGTTATAGTTTTAAATTATGTTTCTTTTATATTTATATGGTTTATTCATTTATCTGAATTATTATTTGTTATTAATAAAACAAAAGAAGCTTATTACACAATGAATTGTCTCATATATCGGAATTAAAAATACCACTTTTATAATGATAATATTTAAAAGTTGAGATAAAAAAAAGAGCATTTACGAACAAAAAAAACAAGGGGATAAACATTTTCTCTATGTTAATATTGTTTGTTTGAAATAGTATTTTAGTTCAGGCAAAGTTGAAAAATATGTACTGTAATGACTATTTTTCTTGAACACTTCTGATTGCATAAATGTCCACTAACTAATAAAATCGAGCACAAAATACCTGAAAATTCTAAATTCGGCAAAAACTCTCAATATATGAAAACATAATCTTATTTTAACACTAGTACGAATCCCGTGCATAGATATTTATTAATATTTATAAATTAAAAATCTTTATTAAATAATATTTATATATTAAAAATATGAAATCAATATGTAATACAGTGTACCTATTTAATTTATTGTAAATGTTATATAAAATTTAAATTATGCAAAATTACATAAAAATATCTATTTTTAAAATTAGTACACAATCTGTGCGTTGCACATAACTGTTAATAAATTACATTATATTCGTTTCAATATATGTGTCATTTCAAAAATTTTATTCAGAAATCCGATTGGACTATAACATGATTCTATAGAATAATTATTGTGGTAAAATTTTATCATATATTTAGAAACCTATGTGATAATAAGTATAAATATAAAACTTATATTTTTTTTTCCAAAACGACAGAGGAAACTTAAATTGTTTCATTAACTAAAATGAATTTATTTTTGTATAAATATCTAAATAAAAAAATTTAAGTAGTTGAGTAAAAGCAATCTGTCATAAGATTTTTTATGCCAAAAAAATCGACACTTTTATCATGCTAAAAAAATAAACAGTGCAATTCACACAAAAATTATTTGAAATGTCGTAACATAAAATGAATTATATTGAGACCCACTAATTATACAAAAAAAAAAAATTGACGAGAGTTGTTCTATAAAAAAACATCGATACACGCACATTATATCAAAATATCCGTTTATTTTGCCGGAGTTACGTTAATTTTATACGAAAAATTGAAATACACGCCTAAAAATTAATATATTAGCCTGAGCATTACAGAAAAAAGTACACCGTATATTGATTAATTTTTCAACAAATTTCCTACTAAAAACCAGTCATCAAATAACCTAAATAGATTTGCTCACATACCATATATTGATTAATTTATTTTCCATAGAAACAACTATCAATACCAAAAATAAATTCGTACGCTTTATACCATATTTTAATTAATTCATATGATTTGAGTAATTAAGGTATCTTAAAACATGACTTAATTGGTTCTTTAAATAATGAGCCGCAATTTCCATAAGTGATCATCTAATATATACCATAAATTATTAAATTAATTTACATAAATAGTAAGTAGATTTTTTTTGGAGTGAAATAGTTACTATTTAAAAAATAATCAAACCTTTTTATATCGACTAGTACACAGCCCGTGCGACACGGGTAAATAATATTAAAATTATTTTTATAAATTAAATGTCTGTAAAAAATATTAAAATATTTTTATAATTTAAAAATATAGTTACACAAACACAATATTAAAATTGTTTCATATATTAAATGTGCGGTTGACTACACAACAATTTATCTTAAATTTATTTTCATCTCTCCTTTTTTTTCTTCTTTTGGTTTCATCCATCTAGTCTCGCTGACTTTTTTTTTTTTTTTTT